CATTTGATTATTCTATCTATCTAAGTACAAAGACAATATGTATAGCTTGGAAAATATTTTTTTTTTGAAATAAAAGTATGGATTGTATTGATGTAAGGGTGCCAAGGGGGTGCAACCTATTTACAATATATTTACAAGTCAATTAAACTATCGACGACAAAACTTAAATCATCTAAACAGTCAATGTTATGTCTCAATATAGTGGAACCAAAATAATGAAACCAACTATCTATGATTTTGTTAAAATATAGCTTGCAAAACATTTTAAATATTTGGTTGGGTCGTCTTGGGTTGAGAGAAATGCTTTGCACTGGGGCTGTTCCTCAGCACTTCGAGATATAGTTATCTTGTTCCTTGGCTGTCTATCCGTGCTAAGTGTTGGCCATTGACCTTTCCGCATGGTGGTTAGGCTCACATCCATGGGTTTATGACCTAACTTGTTGGTACTAGACTTGAGCATCAAGATGGGGGATCGCCTGGACCTGTATATATATTCATGTCTCTTTTTTCCATTTTCCCGATGTAGGACTGTCTTACCTTAGCAAATTTAGTAATACATGCTTCACTTTTGCATATTTTGCAATTTCTAATTTGTCGTAATAGCTCGTGAACTTGCATTGACGGAGGTTCCAGATATTCTTGGTTAGGGCTTGTGTTGCTTCTTTTTCTTTCCCCAGTATCTGTGGAGGAGCTGACAAAATGAACAAAAACATCCTGGAGCATTTTCTATGAGCTTCTATCAACTGAGAAAAATTTAACAGGAAAAGGAGGAAAGACAGTGCAAAATTTTGATTCTTAAAAGAGGATATGATTGAAGGTTGGAATTCCCCCTCAACCAGTTCCTTAAAAAATTTATGAAAATTTGAGTCATACAAACCATGTGCAAGCTGTTCCTTACAAAGGCTTGGATACTGCAATCACTTTTTCTTTAAGAAGTAAAAAAGTAAATACTTGATTTCTTGTAGTATGTACGGATTTTTTGAGTTGAGTTAATATTGTTTATTGGTTCAGTTTATCATACTGATGCTATGTGCTACCAATTAAGGAGTATAGACTTCGCCTGGTACTTGAAAATAAATTGCCCCTTTCTTTTTTTTAGGGCATACCTGACCGGGTGACTAATGAGGTGTTTATCGCTATGTCAAAG